TGTTGTGTACCAGAGGCTACGGGGTCAATATGGTGCAAAGTCGTTACAGATCCGGCTTGCCACCAACGTCGATAGATATTCTCCTGGAAAGCAATGTTATTGTTTATTTCTCAATGTGCTTTACCGTAGTCAGTTTTCCTCGTATATTCGGGATAATATACACCACGTGTTATTTAACCATCCCATTGATGGTCACGTGATCAAGACATATTTTGTCATGCATGCAGTTACTCATTTCGATCACACGTTTTAAAACTTAGTTAAGTTTATTACTAATGAGATGTGAACACCAACGATGTAGCATGAGTAACATGAGTATATTAGTTTATCTCAGTACGGGAACGCCCAGTAGGTGGTGAACTCTACTAAATGATTTCAGCTGATGTAGAACATGAGTATCGACTCGAATTCACTGCGGCAAAACACATGTACTCAAAATCAAAATTTGTATAATAATTACCAATTAAAAATAAAATACGGATTATGAAAATGTACGAAATATTAAAATGGACTCGAAGAACGAAAGAAAACAACTTTACGATAAGTTTTATTGAACTGTTATTGGCCCAACCAAAACAACCTCGTACATGCGTTTGGCACACCATGTGACTGGCACGCGTACTCATATGGATTAATGAACCGACCTTTGTTAGTTGGTGGAAGTTGATTAAAATAGATCATCAGATTTGCTTGATTTATGCCAAGTGGTATTATTGTTATTCCGTATTCTACTAAGTATACATATGCGGTTAATGCCGTATTGCTAGATTCCCATTTCGCCATTATATCTAAAAGTTGGGTTCAAAGTTCGGTATCAATTACCATAGGGTGAAAGAAATCATTAGTTATGATATGTTAGTATTTACAAAATGAGTATGTTCGTCATGAATTATTATAGAGTTATGAAGATTGGTATTTATTTTGTATCATAATGATGCAATGTTAACCAACGTTCCCAGTTTGATCGTACTGGAAAACACAGTTGATGAATAAACGTCTTTCAGTTTTGGAACTAAAAATTCAAAATTTGTTCGCCGCTCTTTAATTTACGTTGGGTGTCTGCAACCGTCCATATTTGCTCAAACGGCGGTTAGCCATTCTTGTTAACATTTTCGAACGCTCCAAACCGCAAACTTGTCAGTAGCGTACTTGAAGTGGATGTTTATATCATGAACTCATGATTCGTAGTTGAGGAAGCGTTTACCTCACGTATGAGAAAAATGAATGAATGAATGTGACCTAACCACAATACGACACGTTGTCCGACGATTTTGTTTAAATGTATGCTGTGGTCAGACAATTGCACACATTAGACGTCAACTTTGTCTCTCCTGACCTTTTTATGTACAAATGTCAAGTGCATGTGAGTACGATGCATCTAGTGCATGTTGTTATATTAACCGTATTCCATTTTTGAGACTCTGTGATAGGATTGATATCTAATCATCTTCCAATAATAATGGCATTATGGCAAGTTTATACGGTATCAGTACCCCAGCATTAATCAGGCCAGGTCGAACACGGACACCTGCGGAGGTTTCTCAAAGAGGCCGAAAGTCATGGACGATGCGCGACACATTTAAGAGTCTAACAATGATATTAAAAATTGCCAAAATATATATGATTCACAATGTACTATTATCGTGATGGTAACATTGTCGAAACATTGTGCAAAATATGTCTAGCAATATTATAAAAAGATCAATTATGTATTTGTACAATGTATTATCAATATTTATTTCATCCGATCAACATACGATACCTCTCATTGGAACCTTGAACGCCCTCACTGTTAATGGCTAAATAAACAACGTATGGTCTTACTACCAGTGTAACATTATGATACAACAACACTGGGATGTTTGCTTTCTTTTCCTGGGATGCTAGGCGACTTTATGTCGGCTTGTTTTGACAAAGATTTCCACTCTCATTTACCATTCCATGGCAGTGTTGTTTTTCTCCTATGCCGAGTCATTAACCAGTTAGAATACCAATGTTGAAGGAATGATGTTTCTTATACTTGATTATACAGACAGTTCGTTATATCGGGGTGTCTTCCTTCACTTTAAATGTTGCCCTTTCTTGTTCCCTCAAGCGGCCCCTTGCATCGTATGTATATAGAGAGCCCGGCGAGTTCCAGTTAATTTATTTCTAACACTGACAAGTTTGCCAACAGCTCTTTTATTCATTTTATCACATTCCCTCATACAACCATGGCTTCGTCATCCGTGGTCATTGGCTAACCATTAACCACAATTTCGAAACTCGTTTTTTTGGATAACCCTAACTGATGTTTGCCCTATAGCAAATCCCAAGTCTTCACTGATTGAAAACGGATCCTTATTCCCAAGTCCCAAACCGCCTGTACAACAAAAACATGCCCAAATAAACAGTGCGAAGTAATATACAAAACTATATACAGCAAAGAGCCCCGATAGTCTACATTATTCACTCCGTAGAGGCATTCCTAGGCATAAACAGTATTTCTTTTATCATGCTAGTGAGATAGCTTTTGAAATAAACCTATCAAAGACTATACACAAAAGCTGAGGCGATGCAAGATTCGCCAGTACCGTATACACACAATCGCAAAATAGATTCGTATTCGTACCAAGTACTGAATAGATTGAGTTAGCACAAGTATTATCTATCTGTTATTATGTATCGGTTTATTGGAGCGGTCTAAACGAGACAAGCATATGTGTGAAGTCAAATATTCACGTTGTTATCTACTACTTGCGCCACCCTTCATCCCGACGACTACGTCGATCGAGTTCAAAGCCTGTCTCCAGTTCTCGTCTTAAGGGTCCTCTGGTCGTCCACACTGAATAAACATAAAATCCGATTTTAAAGGATCTTGGCGAGCACTTACTGGCACCAAGCAACATTCAAGAGGCCCTCAACCGATTAGGATAACAGCAAATACAGCAACTACTTGACATGTATGTCACTATACACACCTATATACATGACCATGACTATGAGAGGGAAATGTTAACAATTAATTATATTATATTATATTATATTATATTATATTATATTATATTATATTATATTATATTATATTATATTATATTATATTATATTATATTATATTATATTATATTATATTATATTATATTATATTATATTATATTATATTATATTATATTTTTATCAAAGGAGCACTGCATAAACGACTCAATGTCCACAGTGAGAAACTTTGTGGCTGGGTCAATTGAAATTCGCATAGAGTGCTAGAGTAAGACGGTTTCAAAGGACCAACATCTGAATGTTTGAAGTAACCCTCGAACAAAGCCAGACCTAACCACTCAACTAGAGACTATACTAGAACGAAGAGACATATCTGAGATTGTCCGGTGCCAGTCTAAGTCTGGTCGAAAATGGCCTGAAAAAATTAGAACCATGCTATTCGTGTGATACTATTCAAGTTTTAATGACCCCGCAGGAATCTACTACTGTAAGACGAGGATAAAAGACTTAACATTTGAGAATTGTAATTTGCCCGGATTGTTACACTGTTTAAATAAGATAATAGCAGTGTGGTTTTCTTTACTACGCAACAACATCATATATTTGCGTCTGTGAGGCTTGCCCCCTCACATCAATAGGCCTGAAGTCGCCAAGTCTGTCATCACAAAGTATAATTTTGTATCTGTGACATGCCCTTTCTGTTTGTGTACTACTTTGGCATCGCACGGTGTTTCTCTAATGTAAAGATAGAATTACAACCAAATACATCCTATTTGTGCGATCATGTTTTACTGATCAGCGGACACCATATGCAGACGCTAGACTCGTGTCGGAGACGGGACTCCCAGATCAAGTAATCATTAGAACACGAAAATCGTTTTTACTGTTGTACGTGTCTTGAAAGTCAACACGACTTGTAAAAGAATGCTATGCACGCATGGTATCACTATTTTTACAACGTTATATTAACAATCAATTCTACACAATCCACTAAGAATAGACGTAAGGTCTTTCAAATAAATAAAGTGTTTGAGATATTGAAGCCAATTCACACTTCCCGATATTAGTTCATATACATTAAGTACTATGTGTCTGAATATTGATGTATGGTTTGCATTTCGGATAAACATAAAGACACACATGCATTCACTTTAAACGTTGGACAAGTTGGCATCGTTTCCGTCATTTAATGTACATATTAATAAAGTTATAGCATGAAATGCATGTTTTACGCGTAACCTTGCGGCCCCTCAACTCTCAATTATGTGGGTTGTAAAAAAATAATCCCAGTGAAGTCGAAATTGACGCTGTACTGAAAGCAGGTGACCGCATCGTGAGCTCTCGGTTTACACTATACAAAAGATCAGTGGTTGGCCGCCGCTAAGGATGCTATTGAAAACGACAGTGGTTTATGTGGCATGGGCTATTATATCGGTGTACATGTAATTTCCTCTGACATGCGATTGATGAGCTAATTAGCCGTCAGCCTCAATTAGTTCAACTGACTCGGATATCAGCGCCGACATTCTCGTATGATAGCGGTCAATCACTTTTCACAAGTACTCTTTTCCTGTTTATAAAACGTACACGCACGTTCCACATAGTACTTGGACCTCCATTTGCGGAGAGGCGGTAAAGTAAATGTGTAATCGAAATAGTCGTCAAAGTTTCGAGAGTGCACTTTACCTGAAGACGCATGACGCCTTAGGTGATAGGTGTGTCCTACATCTGTTGAGAATTCCTAGTGCAACATGCGATTGAAGACTGAATTAGGCGTTGGGACTGTGAGCTAGAAAGAGGAAAATATCTCAAGATCAAATGGCAGCACCCCTTGTGGTCCCTGCAACAAAAAGTGGTATGCCCCCGGGGCTACTTACTACTAACAACCCTTTTGAGGATAATGGCGTTTTTTGGCTGGGTTGCTATTCATCATTTGACAGTACAGTACTGTGAATGTCTCTCGTGTACCATATAATAATTTAAGGACAAGAAAGCAAACCTAAAAAGAAACATTTACCCAATATGTATACTTGATAAATAAATAAGGTTTATTGACTTTTCTCCAAAAAAAATTACACTGTACATGGCTTTAACTCTTATACATTAATCGTCAAAGTTAACGGGGATTACTGGTGCATTTAATAAAATTATAACTCCAAAATTCGGTGTTACAGAAACTTCAATGGACTGGTTTCAAAAGATGTAAGAAAAGTGTCTTGTGTATGATACCACCACACTTTATGCATGGCAATCAGTGCATGAAACCTTTGTGTATGTGTATTTGTTGAGCAGGCGTACTTAAATGCTCCCATGCATAAGGAGAAGTGCGTCCATATAGATTAAAGCGCTCAAGCATACTACAATTACTTGTATGCTGATTGTAAATGCTTGAAAAACAGGTAGACGGATAAGATGTAGTTGATAACCCCTAGGACCTCGTTAGGGCCTTATAAGCTTAGTGTTGATTTAAATGGTGCCACTCAGTCCGTTACTATTCATGTCATCATGCGTCCAAATTTTCCAACTTTGTTTGGAATGTTCTAATGAGCTTTCACTTGTTGGATTGTTAAATTGTTCCTGCCCTATGTTTTTTTTTCACTGATTTTCAATTTGTCTAAGGGCCTCGATCGCAAGCAACTCTCTGTTGGCTAGCTTTATCCTCTCTGTGTCAATATTTACCAAATTGTTACATAATAAACTGTAATATTATTTTCGACACGGACAATGAAACAGATATATTCCGTGGAATCAACAAAACATGTTTCAGATGCTGAACTGACTTTCCAATGAAATTGTCTAAATGCTGACTTGGAGTGTGGTTGTATTGAGTAGTGAAATGCTAGATATAATGAACTGCTGACATAGTATGGTATCAATAGGAGGCTATTTGTTGCAGTCTGTTTGTTTGGATTCTTTTTATCAACATAACATATTCCACAGAACGCACCATTTAACACGGCTGCTGGACCACCACACGTCGGCGTGGGTTTCCAACTAGGTCACTTATCTAAATAGTTCGACTATATAGCTAACCACCCTGTCTTACAATAACAGAAACACTGAAAAGAGTATATATTTTGTCGAAAACTCGTATGTCTTTCTCTTACAAAATGTACAAAACTCTTAATAATTATATATCTACACCGCCCGTTTCTCTATATACAGAAGAATGTTCATAAACTTGACATAAGTTTAACGTTGGTGTTGGGTGATCAAATCTGCATGCGCCGTTTGAATGGATACACACGACTCGTTTTAAAAGTACGCGATCATGAGTTACGTGAATACAGGCTCATTAACTTCTGTACACTGAACCAAAGCTATCAAATGTCTGTACAGACTTCAAAGAGTTATAGTTACTTTACTTGGCACAGTTGCCGCCACAGCTGCACTCCGTTATTATTGGGTAAGGTACGTAAATCCAACGGCAGAGCATTTTGCGGTCTAACCTATCTTCGATACAAGCCCAAAAAAGTACATTTTTTGTCGTCGACTCACTTGGCAAACACGTTAAACCCGAAGGAATGGAGCATGAGTTCTGACCCTGATAACAGTCTCCAACTTTCAACCACCTCGGCCAAAAACGTTTGCCCAGGTTCTTCCATGATTGTCTCACAGGACAATGGGTTCTTGCCCACAACCATCTACGGAATCTTTTTCGTGAGTGGGGTCCCACTCTGGTATTCGTGCCGTCGGGCATACGCCTGAGGTTTTGGCTTTGAATGTCCTCTGGTATCTCCCCTCTTAATTTCAAGTCAACAGGAAGCCTCTTCTTCTTCGGCCGCGTAATCCTCATATACTCAAAATCAAAATTGCGTTCACCCAACAACTGCAAAAGACGAGATGTATTTTGTAGTTCGTGTTGAGGTGGGTTATATGAGCTCCCTTGATCAAGTTCTAAATCCAGAAGCGGCAGATCCATGTATCGGCATTTTTTTGAACTGTCCGACGGAGAATCGTGCAAAAACAAGCTTGGTTGACAGTAGCTCCATCCCAGCAGCATTAAAAATACGAGCACCGGTTTCGTAGAGGTCGACATCCTTCCACCTGAAACAGACAGAAATAAGCGTTTACACTAAAACATTCATCATGAAGAAAGATAATAGTAAAGATTAAAGAAAGTCTAGGGAGGATGGGATAAGTAAAAAATACGCTCACCTCCCGGTGACATGGTTTACAAGTAGCGTCTATGTGCACTGCTGTCAAGTATTGTGGTTATGTTAAGTCAAACAGGACGCCAACATGAATTCCCGTTGAAGGCGCACATTTAGTTAGGTACCGTGTTTTCAGTTCGCAGTCCAACTTCAGAATGAATGAGTTGGAAAACTTTCCAGCTAATTAAACATCCACTCCAATTTAAATGAAATTTCATTCCGGTAGCCATAGCAACAATATGAATAAATGTAGCGACACTGTGTCTAGACGGTGGCAGTGGACCGGCGTGGGAGCCGGACACTAAGGGCGGACGTTACACGCATACATTCTTCTGGGCAGCATACGTCACAGTCGCATCTGTGTATACCACAACACTGTGTACCACTGAATGATCTAACATCATTCATTCATTGTGATCTGCCGCAGATGCATCGTTTTATTTAGTTTGATGACCACAGAGACACTGTACTAATGAAAATCAACAAAAACACCAGCTTTATATCTTTTGGATACGCTTTCAAAGCCAGAAAGATGGAGCCTCGGCGACCTACTACCGCCCCCTTGCCCTCTTCCAGTGAACCATGCCACTTGGAGCATGCTTTCTACTGTCTCGGCGTTACGCTTTTACGTGGTGGCGCACAAGCATTTCATTAGCGCACACGAGTTCCACTAGAAGAGACTACCTTATTAATTATTATTTTTGAATATATAATCATATAACACTAGGGGCGATGTCGCGCAACGAACATAGAAACCGATTATTCATTCATCGAAATAAATTGATAATAGCAAAGCAAATTTGTAGAAACAAAGGAAAGGGTGCACCGGACGAATTCCTGCCATGTACCCCAATAAAATCGTGGTAGTCGTCGAGCCAGAAAGACGCTGCATTACAAACAATATAACTTAATGGTTTTGTGACTTATCTGAACCACTCGAGATAATAGGCTAAACATCGTACTTAACGGGGCTTCTGAAGAGACGCGTCAACATTCCGGCTAATACCGAAAAAAACACACACGTCAACTTCTACAAGTCAATAAAACGGTCATGGTGTGAACACATTTTCGACCCCGGGGATTTACCGAAGATTTGTCATATTTACCGACTCATATATCCTAAGCCTTGGCAGGCAAGGGCATGTAATCAGTAACTATGAAGTATAATATTAACGATACAATCTCCGTATATTGAGCCGAATATCGATATTTGATAAATTCGCCCACCAATATGTCATATCGAGAATTAAAAACACCGGCATTATAAATGCAGTTTTTGTTTTAAACAACTGTTTATCCGAAATTAGCATTATTAGTACTACTAGTGTAATGCAAAGGTTATTAATGAATTACAACACTTCATTAAACAGTTTATCGGCACTGGAACTAAATTTGCAGATTTACCAAGAAACGTCATTGTCTATACTCTAGATACGCTGAAAAAATAAACTATGATGATTGGTTTTGTCAAATGTCATAATGTTTAGATGTGTTTCAATTTCGTGGTGTGCACATTAAATACTGTTTTAAATGTATGCATTTCACTTTGAATTGTGTTGCCTATGTTGTATTGCGGGTCCCTGTAATTGTTTTCTCGCTAGCTGAGACTAAAAATAATGATAAATCACAGTTGTAACTTGGTATTTTAGCCACAGTTGTGTATTCGAATGGATTGTGAATGTCTCTCGTCAAAGGGCATACTTGTCCTCATAGATCAATTTATTTCAAGTTGTTGAATGATGACGACGCCATTGCTTAATAGCAAATCTATAAAAACAGTGTAGGGAAAGAGAAACCTCCCATATATATTACAGAGTTGTAAATATAACAACTTTGGAATAATGTAATTTGGTTGAAAAAATGATATTTAGAAACTATAAACGCACATGTAAATCATTTGATTTTCCAAAACTTTATCTTGTTGGCTGCGGTGAGATGAAGTGATATTTCACAAATTAGTTAAATTAGTACTGTTTTTAGAAGAAAGTCTTATTTCAAATTGAAAATGTAGTCATTTTATGATTTCTTTTGTCTTGGAAATATCATCGAATAATGAAGCATACCAAATTATTTCTGTCAAGTTTTTTGAAAAACAAATACATCTGCTATAACAGTATTACAGTATAAGTCGTGATGTGTATAACCAAAATTCGCCAGTATTCTCATTGTATGCCTGATATATAAACTTTTAAAAAAACAAAACTTTTCTGTTCATGTGAAAGAAATTTCAAATTATGAAAACATATATTTTGCTAAATACAGATACACTGTAAATTAATAGTTCGTACTAGTAATTAAGGACGCATGCTCATGGTCTTGGTTGATTATTTAGATATACAATTCATTACTGTTTCGGGCACAACCTAAACTGGTCTCTGACTTCACCTAACATCGTATCCCAACATGCAATACCGAACAAAAATGGCAACGACTCAAATTCTTTCTTATTAAATGGATACATCACCTTGTATTTCGTCAAAGGCAAAGGACAAATGCGAGACAGCCCCATGAAGTAGTTCAATTTGCGGCCTTCACCACAAAAATGTGATCCATTATCTCCGAATTCAATGAAAACATGGGGTGTGTGATTGTTCAATTCGCCGAAAAATTCGAATAATGTCGTTAAGTTGATTCGAGCTTAAGGAAGAGCAATACTCGAATTCACGACAAGATACAAGATTTGTATTAGATTTAGCAACACTTGGGAGAAATTGAGAGTCATCGATCAATCGACGGAGCTTCACAAAAACAAAACGTGTGATAATTCTAATAAATACAATTACGTGTAATCTAGTTCAGTTACCAATTCCATATCTTGTTTTTTTTCTCCTTTTTGACCGCATTTTACACAATAAAAAGTTACACAATTATTAAGAAAAGAACCATCGAACCATACTTCCTTGACTTTTAGTAATATTTCAGATGCTTGCGTTTTTAATACTTTCCATCGAAACCACTATTGTATATTTTAGATTTGCGCCTACATTAGAAAGTATTGCAAGTGATGGAACAAAAAATAACAGTCACACCAGTGATTTCATCGAGAAAAATTAAGCAACGTTTAGTTTAATAATAAAATATGGAATACCTAATGAAACAAGATTTCTAAAGTAGGGGGATCAAGTAAGGTATTAGGTGTAGCCGTCTATACCAGATTGTATGAGATGACATATAAGAGAAGCACTGTTGTGTAGACCATTGAATAAACTAAGTAAATATCCTAGATCAACTGATAAGACGCTTTATGAAGTCAGACAAGCAGAGAAAATGTTTATAAAGAAACGGGGCAGTCTATTCGATGCAATAAGATTAGTTATTTCAAAACAACTCTGATCAGGGCAATTATCACATAAAACGTTTGAGTTTTTTCAACTGTTCCGCATGGGCTCTTGTTTGGACACCCAATCATGATACAGTAGTTCCGCATCACTGGATTCGTCGGTAATTGTAAGATGAAGACGGCGGTTTTACATCACAATGAACACCCCCTTTTTATTAAGTACATAAGACATAAAATACAGCGGCTCCAATATAAAACTCGGGCAACTTGTTGTCTTCGGCTTCTCAGACAGTCACACAATCGTGCAAGGTCATTCTTCGCAACCGTCCTACATGTCCTGCGCATATTTCTGATTTCTAATTTTCTACTTCACTGATACGTTTTCAAAAAAAATTCTCTTCAAATATTCGTGGAATTACATTCATTACAAGGTCGATGAATCATATACAAGTCGCCAACTTGCCATGACGGCTGAAATAAATAATAGCATTGAGCGACTGAAGAGTCATGATTTAAAAAAGATTTGACACCAAAATATTACGTCATTTTGTTTTTCTTAAAATGTCGTCAACATAGCTTCCAAATATACATAACGATATAAGTGGCGGATCCAGAGGGGG